TTTAGTCATTTATAAATCAGTCACCCAAGTGGTTCTATTCTCAAATAATCATCCGCAGGCAAGACATACCTTTATCTTCTTTTAACATTGGCATCACTGACTCAATCAATATCATGTGCCACAGCCCCATTGTTCCTGCTGCTTTTACAGTTTCCAAGTTCCTATAGATGTTTCTATACATTTGTGCCTTAATGCAACAATTACACTCTATATTCAATTTATTTTTAACTTTTATAACTATTACCAAGTGCTCATTCTTCATCTCTTCAATGATCTTTATATTTGCATGTCGTTGCTTCACATCCTTCTTTGTTGATACATATGCTACCCCTTTCTTGTTTCTTTATTCGACATAATATGTGTTTCCTCTTCTCACTGCTTTCATTCGAATCACTAAATTAATTTCATTCCTTTTTGTGTGTCTAAGCCATCTCCAGTTTTTGAATCTTTATTTGACCATCAAAGATTTCTATCTTGTATGTTACATGGTTAGTCAACCTAGAATCCAATAGACATATCATAACATATTTCTATTGATGCTTCTATTTTTTCTTGCTATAAAATATAATTCTTGACAACTCATGGCTCCATGCTGGTGATATTCCATGAGTCCTATATTTTTCTATTATCGCACGTGACTGAGTTGGAAAAACAATGGCACATAACTTACACTATTTAATTACAACTGATGGTTACGTTAATACAAAGACTTACATTCTTTTGCGTGATGCAGGGTCAACCTGCACGGACACAACAATACTTCTAGCATTTACTTGCCATTTTTTCTCATTTCCTACGCTCTCTCCTGATCACTTGGAGAAAAATTAACAAATCACTTAATTTCTGTGATTAATTTATGAACTTTTATAATTGCGTTGTAAAGGCGTACCTTTGTATATTTGTCGTCTGCCAGGTAAAGAAATGAATGCCGATTATCTAATTGAAACCACTGTTTGAACTGAATTTATTAAAAAATACAGAATACCTTATGGTATTCTTAAGTGAATAGAAAGAATGAAGGAGAATGTGTGTTGGTTATTTATGTCGTTTTATGGTTTTATTCATCTCATCCACCACGTCACTTGGATTTAGGCGACCTCCAGGCGCAATCTATGTTCTTTATACCTAATGCGAGCTTCGAGCTTCGAAAATTCACTAATTACTCAATATCTGGGATTAATTTATGTACTTTCATAATTGCATCGTAAGGGTAAATCCTTCAAGGACTTTCCAATATATTTTTCGATATAAATTTGTACCTAATTAATTAATTATTTCTGATTATTCTACGCAGTGTTTGAATTGTTGTCGAAGATGCCATCAGTTTTTCATTAATCCTGGGGCGCTTTCACATATTACTTTTGTTCACATTTTGATTCTAGTTTCGTTTCGCATTAAATATTTTCACGGAAGATGGTGACGGCCATCGTTACGAAATCATGGACGCCATAAAACAATAATTAATAATAAACAAATTAGCTTTAAATTGGTTATGAAAATTATATAAGAATACTGCCTAATGTTTCAGCTTTACAATGCAATTATAAAAGTTCATATATTAATAACGGAAATTGGGTAATTTATTAACTCTTCACTGTCGGAGCCCTTTTATCCTTTTCTATCCCATATCTGTCCTTCTTTGACACGTAACGAGTTCTTCGACGATCTCCTCGCACATTCTGTATTCCTATTACTTTTCTGAATTTTGGGTCCAAAATCATAGATGGCGCTGCTCGCGAGCGGTAAAATTTTTATTCGAACTCGATACCTCGTCTGGTTATGTGCTCCCAACACTCCTTATAATATCAATTCGGCAGTAGAAAATTAATAAATTTTCAAGCTTATCTAATTAATTCATGAACATTTGTAGCTACAAAGCAAAGTTGGAATTATAGGCAACATTCTTATACAATGTTTAATTTAATAATTAATACTTACATTAGCGATAGGTTTTGTATTTTCTGTATAAGATTACTATAGAAAAGTATTTATCTTGCATAATATTCTTATTATTTTGTAATACATATATACTTGCATAAGAAAGTGTAAAAAATACATTTTTTTATTAAAAAATTTTATTTACAATTGTTTATTTACAATGTCTTCATAGACGAAAAATGAACACAAAATCAAAATCGATTGAAAAAACTACCAATTATGGACAGGAATCGAACCTCGGTTCATCAGCATAGAAATTTTCGACTGTTGCATGGGCAACCTCACTTCCAAACTGGTAGAAATAAATCTATAATTAAGGAGGTAATCATAGTTTAATCTTAAATATCTCAAAAATTATTGAGTAGTTGCTACTATAATTATATATTTTATTAAACTGCATGACGATATCTACAAACCTGCAAAGTTTCAACTAAATCGGTGACCCGAAGGACATTCACTCTCCTTGTATGTCGAAGCCGATGTCATTGTTTATTACTCTCCTGATAGTCTTTCGCCGCTCGTCTCTCCGCATATACAACATAATTAACTAATTCGCGAGGTTAATTAATTTGAATGAATTTCATGGAGAATGTTACCTTATTAATATTCCTTAATTTCTTTAAGAATTTTTCTTCCAGTCAGACGATTCAAATTAGCGGTCTAGAAATTTCCAGAATTTCGCAACGACTTAATTTTGCAACTTTTTTTCTGCGTGAATTCAAGGAAAAGTTGAAAGATCAAATTCAGCAAAATTCTTCTTCGACTGTATACAATGTTCTAAATCCTTCTTTCCGTACATCTTGTTCGTCGATCGCCGATTTAGATTTTTTGGGTGTACTGAAGGAAGACGATGTCACGGAAATGTCTCGATGTGACGGAAAAACGAGGAATGTAGATAGAATATTTAACGACCATCATTCTCACCCTCGCCACTCCATGGATCCTAACTGCAAGGAGAATAGAGGACTCTCGCAAGTCCTCTGAATACCTCCGCTTTATATACATATAACTTCCAGACTTTTCAATAGTATCCTCGTCTAAGCCAGGCCTGCTAGGGTAGACCTAATTTGTAACACTGTTTAAAAAGATGAAAAAGAAGGTAATGCATAATTTAGAACATTAATGACTCAAGCACCTCCTAATAAAAAGCAGAGATGGATCTAAGGTGTGTGTCTTGGAAAAGCAGGCAACACGGAAATTTTGTATGATACAGACGATATTCGTGACAACGCGTCAAAAATTAACACAAAATTGACTAAAAAAATCGGGAATATTCGAACCGTAGAAGTCGCGATGAATGCAATGGGAGGTCGTAAATTAACAGAGACGTTGGTCTGCACATCGTTGCCCGGTCCTAAACTAATCCCCAGCATGATATTGACGATAGCCAATACCATCCCGGGGACAATGCCTGTTGGCTTGCAGTGACTGCTGGTATATTTCGGGGACACCACCAGTGCACACTTGACAATAGTGTGCCTGCTCCTTTTGCATGGGCGTAGTGGCGGAATCTTAGCTGCCACAACATAATGGAGTGATCCATTTGCCAAATCAATCAACTCCAGGGATTAGAAACTAAAAATTATTTAAGATATAAAGAATAAAGCGTCGAACTTTGATAACTGTGGCCTGCGAGTGGCTCAATCGATGGAGGGTTAGTTCCTAACGATTTATGCCTGTATTATTTCTACCCGACTAATTAGGGGACAGTTGCTAGGAAATGTCGCAGTGTATCAGGAGATTAAAGTGAAATATAGCAAAAAGCTTCGAAATGATAATTAGTGATTTAAGATTAATTACTGAAACTTGTTGAGCATTAAATAGGATCCTCGTGGGTTTGGGGAAGTTGAGAAAAGAAAACTCGTAAAGAAGTTTCCTCAACTTCTCAAGGAATACAGACCGAGCAGAAAACAAGCTTCCAATCATAAGGCAGCATGTTTTCAGGTAATAGGTTAAACCTTGGCAAGCTCTAGTGATTGTTAGAAACAGGGTAGCTGTTTCACACATGGAACTTCACACGCATATCCTCCATCCACGCGTCCCATGTTGGCGATAATGACGCGATGTTGAATGATGCGTTCATGAATCATCGATTACCTACGTGCATAAGAGAAAATTAAACCCTCTTAACAATCCTTTCGGTGCTATAAAATATTCATTCACTCGACGTAATAAAGTTTCTGATAAACATTAAACAATGAGAATTAAATAGTCCTGAAGGTTTAAATTGAAAAATCAATTCTTTCAATCTCTTCATCGCTTATTTTTTCCTCTTTTTCCCATTTCGTTAGATTGCTGTCTGCCGTGATATTTTTCTAGGTCTTTCCTTACATTTACGTCCACGCGAATTGTCCAACTTGTCTCCTACCGCTACTCAAAATTAAATGAAATCAAATATTAGTAGATATTGTTACGTTATTCCAATAACTGAAAATACACACGAGTTACGTATACGTATTTCTTTGCACCGTTATGTAAGTCATCGTATCAATTATCTAATGCAGAACACCACGTCATGATTAGAAAAGACGCGGTAGATAGTTGCAGAACCTTCAGATGGACCTGCCGCATTAGAGTGTCAATATCGAATATCACATTTTTTAGAATGAAATCTATTTGTACAGCAGGATTGTGGAAACGGCACTGACACGTTTATTTAACCCATTTGCATCATGGCTCTACTTAAGGTGCCGCGTTCAGGCATCAGCGACGTTCAACTGACGACTAACCCGTATCAGCGCGCTCGTATCAGCACCTACTCATAATAGCAGTTAAAAGCGGTTTCACGACGAAGGTATAACTTGTTCAGAATATAATGAACCGAAGTAGATGAGATGCTCACGAAAGCGATTAAACGTGATCTGTGGCATATGAAGAATATTCAGCAACTGGTAATGGAAAAATTCAGCTCGCGGATTATTCAGCGCTCGGTGATAGACGACTGTCGTGGCTCGCGGAATATTCCGCGCATGGTGCATACGGGTTAATACATTGAAAAGGTTTGGTAACGATCGATTGTGTATTCAAATAGTCGCAATTTCACCTGAACGATGAGACTTCGATCTCGCGTAATTATGCAGATACGAATATCCTTTGAAAGCACTAAATAGTCTCTTTTCTGTGCTTTTCCTTTGCCCGACTTTCTTTTTCTAATTACGTTCTCGCGAAACGCAAATCGAGATGAAAATCTGAAGAATCGTGGCTCATTTAACGGAAATCGATAAAATTCCTTTGCGGTATGAATTTCTATGGAAAATAACGGTGCTACGTTGGATTAAAATGCATTAAGGGGAACATTAAGAACTTTGCTGTAAGAAGACTTTTCCACCAATCTTTTGCACCACAATTTAATTATAAAAAATTTTACATTGAAGAAGCTTCGTATATTGTATGTATTTCGTTCGCATTAAAATTGTGGAAGCTTTTGGAATTTATATGATTCTTACTCGAGTTAAATTTCACTCGTGCATGACGAATTAAGCTCGTAAATATAATATTCATTCAATATTCATTATTAAAATTCAAAAATTTTGTATGCAGGAACACTTACTTCGACTCATTGCAGGCGATGTCAAGTCTTTGGCATTATCTTGTTACGATGCACTGGTGAGCGGTGTAAATTTGGTAATTAACTTCGATTCCGACAATGAAACAAACGAGGGATAATACCTGAAATCGTAATTGCAATATTACCTATTACTATGAATAAATATACAATGTGTTATTAGAACAAATACGCATAAATTCGGAAGACATATCGTGGTGACTTTAACGAAGTAATAAGAAATTAATATAAATTTATAACGAATTTTGTAAATACAAAATGTAATTTAACCTTGATATAATATTCGTATTAATTTTATCGACATTTTTAGACATTAAGGCGGCAATATCGAGACTATATAATTTTATAACGAGAATTCAAAATAATGTGCCAGAATAAAAGTAGAAGTGCCTAGTTTATAAGTAAATAACGAAAAGAATAACGTCCTCTTATCGTATGTTACTATTCTCATAAAACTATTAATTGTTATTATATTTTATATCTGTTATGACATGACTTCGTTGACAGAAAAATTAAGGGCAATTGCATTGTCGCAATGAGTCATCAGTGTCAATCTGTTCCAGATATATGTAAGTACATGTGTAGTATGTGCATGTGTAATATGAAAGGAGCGACGTTTAGCACTCCCTTAAACAAGGTGGGAAACACATATAACTGTTATATGTAAGTATATATCTTGTGTATAAGTGTATACATCTTTTGTTTAATGAGGTTCTTCAAATATCTAAAGAATATTTTCTAAGAAGATCAATAAAGGTACCATAAAAACAGGTTATCTTAAATCAATAAAAAATTTGTGATTAAATACTTAAGCGATTAAGGAAGTAATTTTTATTAATTTTTAAATTAACGTAAACTGATAGTGAATCAATCGATGAAGGTGTCGAAAAGAATCATTTGATCCTTTCTTTATCTGTTTTAAAGAGTTTTAAAGAGTTCTCACTTTCCTTTTACAAATATCAAATATTTGAAGCGAATGTAGGTTGAAAGAAAACAATGTAGGTGGGAAGGAAACAGGAATGCTGAATCAAACGAATGCTGAAAACGAATAAAAAACCTTCAACTTTCAATTAAACTACCTTCAACGTACATCAAGCATTACAGAAATATTTACTTTTGGTAATTAAAATACTGTTTGTTCGAGCTTTCCAACAAGTAATTGTTTGTGAAATAACGTGAAGAACGTTTAATATCCTTTTCTATATTTACATTCTTAAAAACGTATAAATAATCTCTACAAAAAAGTGATATACTTCAAATAAAGATTAGTAATATTAAATTACAATTTTCTTTTCTACTTTAGTTTCTATACTAGTTCTAGTGTTATAGTCACGTAGTTAACCTAAGCAGCTCTCATCACTGTGTGCATTGTTTCATTCGAGTGGCTCCTACCACGGGTCAAAAATGACTCCTGCACAATTTGCGGAGGGTTAGTATCCAGTCGAGGTTAATGGACATTAAGAGAATCGCTTAGACAGCATTGCCGATAGCCGGATTAACGATATGTGTTAATTTCGGGTTTCTAATTATGTGATCAGACGTTTTGCTCTTACTTTGGGGTACGTGTATAAGTGTAAACAAATTACAAAAATCTTATAATGAATTCCGTATTGAGAATTATTACTAATAGGAAATTTAAGACAATGGGACTTGACAAATGTCTTCATGGTATCATATTATGTACGGAATAGTAAAAAGGATAAAGCGAGCATTAAGATGCAGAATAATTATATGGAAATTATACTTAATGTTTTATAGGTAGCATATTTCGGTTGCTAAAAACTGATGCTTGGTACTATCGTCTTCGAATTTTTCAGCATTTATATAATAATTCATATTAAATGGTTAGAAAAAATTTGTTCATCAAAAAGAACCATTAAATAAAATGTTGCGGGAAGAAGCAATTACGTTGTGACAACTTTACTAAACCAAACGTATTAGATTGGCAACTAAGTGATTGCGGATTTTAAATAAGAAGGAAGATACAACATTTTCTAGTGAATCTCCGATATTGGTGACGTCTGGGCTGGTTCATCTTGCATCACCCACGATCTTTTTCGATTAACGTTGTTATAAACTATTCACTTTTCGTCTCCAGTTATCAGTCGTTTCAGAAATCGATCAATTTCGTTGCGTTTGAGAAACGAATCGCAGATGCTAATGCGTTGCGTCAAATGAATTTCTATAAGTTAATCGAGTTTCTTGACATAGCCAAGCCGTTTAAATTTTTTTTGATGCGTGTATGCGATATATTGAGCTTCTCTGCAATCTCTCCTGTTGTGCTATGACGATCTGAATCGAAAATGGCCTTGATATGGGTCTCATCAACTTGAATTGGACGGCCCGATTGTTGCGCACTTTTCAGTGAAAAATCACCAGAATGAAATTTGGCAAATCAATTTTGACACTGTCTTTCATTCAAGGCTTCATTCCCATATACGGCACATAACTTCTTGTGTGCTTGCGAAACGTTTTTGCCTTTTCGGAAATAAAACAATAAAATATGTCCGAAATGCGAGTCATGTTCTTCCATATTTAAATTGGGATAAAAACGAAACTAAATAACGAATCTACACAATTTTTCATCTAAATTAAAGGCGGAAGACCAAACAACAAGAAAACAATATGAGTTAAGTGCCTTGAACTCGTTGACAAAACAAAAGAATGTTCAAAAGCCATCTATTGACAAAATCCGCAATCACTTAATTTCCAACCCAATAATTACATATCTAAAACACCCAAATATCTGATTAAATATCAAAGATATGTAACTGAATATTTAAATAAATATCTATCTCGGTTCTAAACGTAGTACTACATGAATATACAAATAGTATATACTATTGTATAACATATGTACATACCCGTGGCAAATCTCTTAAGCGTTGATCCTGTGTCACCGTCTCCACAGCCCCTATCGAGCTCATTGAGGTGCATTTCTTTCTCAATTAAATTTTCAGAGGCGCTTGTCAAGCATTGTTTCAACAAGTTTTGTAATTCCTTGGCAATTTCTATCCCAGCCTTCTCTACCGTCCGTATTACTGTGTTCTGAACAATCGTTGTCGCTCCTTCTGTAGGAACGCTAAATGAACAACCTGGCTATTTTGGGGCATCGGTAGGTGTGTCCAAGCAACTGAGGAAAACGTCTTTGTGCTCTTCGGGTAATTTTAGAAGCGTAATATGTACTCCAGCACTATTCAACGATGTCATCAGAGGTCCCGAATATGCACGAAGAGGTTGTATATTCATATTACCTATATTAACAGAAATTTGTAAGACGTTATACTGGTTGGTTATAGCAGTTCATTCGAGTGCGCATCACGAGTGTTGTATCGCTTCCACAGGTCACTATCCGGCTCGAAGGACCAAAAAATGTATGCGAATGAGTCGCGAATGAATTTTGTGGAATTCTGACAAGTTGTAAGGCCGTATCGCGATATTTTTATGTTGCCTACCAAATTAATATTGGACAACGTTTCAATTAGCACGAGCAAAGGAATGATCTCTGCTGATGTCGAACGCTAGACTCTTGTACGACGATAGGAACTGAACTAGCTAGTGGACTCGTCAGTAAGGCTTTCTCCTAGCAGGCTCTGCCTTAGACTGGGATACTTAGGTAGCAGAGGAACTTCCGAATTCGAAGTCGAGGATTCACTGAGGACTTCCGAGAAAGTCCCCGAACCTCCTTCCAGTAGGAATGCATCTATTGGCGAGGGTGAGAACTTGGTTGCTACGTACGCGAAAAATTGTATCGGTACTTGATCTGTGTGAGTTTATTGTATAACAATCGTATATTTCTAAAAAATTATAAATTATACACCTCTTATAACGTAATCGTTCACTCTCACGCTTCTTCTAACAAACTGAACTTTCTTATAAACTATCAACTCTGATCCTTAGCAACTGAACAACACCACGCATTCTAGATCTTCTACTCGCACTTCTAAAAACATACATATCTACATTCGTGCCATTACTCGACCTCACACATTTGCATTCACATTAATAAAACTAAACCCACAACCTGAACTTGCAACTGCTATTTCCGAACCGTTGAACCCTCTAAAATAAGGTAGGCACAACACCAAAAACGAACAGTAGCTTACTTGGAATTCGCTAAAATGTTTATAATCCATTACCTGAACTGGCAATTACTTGTACCGGCAATTACTTATGACTCAACAGTGCTAATACTGTGAATATTGGTTTTATGAGAGTGCGAGTGTTGGTTTTATATGTGTGAATGGTATTGAGGTAGAATAAATGAAAGTTATTTGCTATGATATAAATATAATAGGTGCGAGTGGAATCTAGTATGAATGTTAATAAAAAATGTTTAGAAGAATGTGCCAGAATTAAACAGTTACGTGAGGATCGTCATAGAGTAAGCATGAGTTAATAAGAGAGTGAGAGAGAGAGAGAGAGAAAGGAATTTTCAAGATAAGAGTCAATTTTTGTGTTTAAAAATAGTTGATTTGGAATTATTGTCAAAATTTAAATATTATTTTATACATAT